GAAAGCGTTTTTCCTTTCCGTGTGTGAACAAGCAAGAGAAATAGGGAAGGCAACTAGGTGAAAGAGAGTGGTACATGATTTTAGGGGCAAGTTGATCTCTATGAGTCTAAGGAGAATTGGGGACCGAGGGAGCACACGCAGAGGGTTACACAGGCATGCTAGGGTGTAGATGTTGTACAGAGGTCGACTGGAAGGCAATCCAAGTGATGGACATTTTACAGCTGGTGGAAGTGTGGAGTTGACGGAATACCGGTGGTGGCTCATCAGCTGTATCCCCCCACTTAACTGTAGTCATGAGAGCACAAGGCTGCAAGAACTTCGGGGGTTATCCAGGTTATTTCTGACATTGTCAGGTCAAATGACTACTAGACTATCCCTGGTTTCTAATTTGAAATATCTCCAAAGAAGACTCCTGTCTAAACTTCTTCAGCCCACTTGAATGTTTGGCTGTACTCCATGCCTGCACAATCTTCACCTTGTCTAGCCTAAATTCTTCTAGCTCCGGTCCAAGCCCTTAGAAGAATGAAACCTCTGTGGGGTAAGAGCTGCCTTGGGGGCAAGAGACAGGCAGTGCTGGGTGGCCTGGAGGATGTTGCACAGGGACAAGGGTGTAGCCCAGTTTCCAATACAAATACACAGGACTATGGGGTCTCCTGTTTTACTAGAACACTTCTTCAGATATCTTAATCCAGGAAGAAAACTCCCTGGGTTTTGTTATTGGCATTAAACCCTTAGGCATGCCAGGACATGGTAAACATTGTGAGCGCATCCTCTAACTGGTCTGCAGGCATGTTGAATGTCCAGAGGGTGCCCAGCAGTTACTGGTGTTGGACTGTGGTCTCTGGGTTAATTTAGTCAGAAGTGAGTTAAATGTACCTCCAGGTTAAATCTGGCAGAGCAAAACAATTCCCTAAAGGCTTGAGAGAAGAGCCATTTTAGGGAAAATCATGGATATTTCTTAGCTTCTCATTTTTAGGGGGAGCAGTACAGTTTTTTTTTTCTCTTTTTCAAACTTTTATTCATTTAATTAGCAAATGTCTAATGAAAACAGTGGATATGAAAATATGAATGAGATATTTCACAGCTACTATGAATGAGGAGTTCACAGTGCTATGAGGAACACATCTATACAACCTATAACTTTTTTTTTCTTTTTTTGAGAGGGCATCTCTCATATTTATTGATCAAATGGTTGTTAACAATAATAAAATTCTGTATAGGGGGGTCAATGCTCAATGCACAATCATTAATCCATCTCAAGCGGGAGCAGTACAGTTTTAAGCTTCACACAGGCCCTGCATATCATTCAGGGCAGGATGGACTCAAAACATCCCAGAAATTTTTTTTAAAACTCTGAGAAATCTCTGTGATCAACTAGTTAGAAAACCAACCAGCACTACAACTTGGAGCCAGCACAGCATCCCCATCACTGAGATGGGAGCATGAACATGAGTATTCTGCTTGGCCCATTTTCTGGTGGGCAGCATGTGCAACCTTCCCTGGATCCTTTAGAATCGCTAACAGTAATTACCGCTAACACTGAGCGAGCATTTTCTGTGTCCTTGTCCTGGAGTGTAGAATGAATGCTTGGTATAGAATGAATGTCATAGCCATCCCTGCAGTAATGGCATGGACTGGGCAGGTGATATTCCCACTCCCATTTCCCAAATGAGAACATTGAAATCTGGGGAAAGGCGCTCTTTCCCCAAGAATAGGCAGTAAGTGGCAGATTCAGTGCGCAGTCTGCTCCCTGTTTCAGTCAGCGCTCTGAACCCTTGTGACATCTTGCTTCCCAGGCCCATGTGGGTGCTGCAGGCAGGGTTGCTGCTTAGGTAGTCTCTGCAGGGGCAAGAGCTGACACGGGAGATGGTAAAGATGCAGAAATACACAGGAGAATCACATGGTGGCTGCCATCTCTGGGGTCTAAAAGAGCTGCAAAATCAATATGATTTTACATAATCTTGGTGGTTGGAAAACTGGCTATATGACAGGTTTAGCTCTGAAAATGAAATGGTTCAGGAAGGGGGAGAGTACAGAACTGACATTACACTGGGGTGAGGGTGCAGGGGTGGAGGGGAAGGGGGGCAGCTGGGACAGGATGAATCCGAGGGTGCCTCTCTTGGCTTTGGTTCTGATTTGATGCAGGAAGGCAGGGAGGCTACGAAGCCGCATTTCTAGTTGCACTTTGCTCTACTCTGTTCAAGCTGCAGCTCAGGTCAGAGGAGCATAGGGCCTCAGAGCTCATCTCTGCTGAAAATGTCTCAGGCTGCGTCTACGTCTTCTCCTCGGATGATGTAACATGGAGGTAATATGGCCCAGTGTGACTCTGAGCCAGGGACAGTCACAGGGGACTGTCTAGCCATTTGAAGTCAACACAGCCAGATTAAGCAATCAGGATGAACAAACCTGGGAATACAGACCGGAAGCTCTATGATGTTGGCCCATGATAAGGTCAAGGCCCTATCTGTGGCTGGAACATTTTCAAGGCTACATGTACCCAATTTAGATCAAAAGTGATAAATGTGGTGCTTTTATTTTTGTTCCTTTCTTCCCTATCAAGTTACATCAACTTTGTAGCTGTAAACATGCAGCTGGCAAGCGAGGCCGGAGGCTACACGCCTTCTTCCTGATGCTGCCACAGGGTGGGTGACAAGGAGTTACTGAAACATGCAGAGGCCCCTCAAGGAGGGGAGAGGAAAGGACTGCAGACCCCACTGAGGGCCAGAGATTCCCCAGGGTTCAGATGGGGTTTACAAGGTCGTATGACCCAGACTATTTCCTCTTTCCTGAAGGCCAGGCCCCGATTGTGTCACTTGGGTCTGCCCCGTTCCTTTACAAGGGGGTTAGCAGCTCCAGGCCTTGACATGCAAATCCTACAGTCTGACTGCTGATAAATGGCCATGCTGATGGGATGACTAATACTGTCCTTCCCTGCCTGAGCTTATCTAGCACTCCTTGCTGAACTGGTGTACACCCTTCTTAAAACTCCACAAAACTGGAACAAGAATTGGCCTTAATAGAAGAACTTCACAAACTGGGCTAAAAGGGACTCTGGAGTGAAACTGCCTGGTCCAAATCCTGATCCTGCTTGCTTTAGCTGTATGACTTTGGACAAACAATTTAATCTCTCTGTACCTTAGTTTCCCCATCTGTACAGTGAAGTTGAGAGCACCCGCCTCCTGGGTACTGAATGAGCAGATTTATTAAGTGTTTGGAACAGGGTGTATCACATAATGGCGAACAGTTAGTGTATATTATTTAGTATACTATTGTTTATTATACACTAATAAATAAACAATGTATATTATTGTTTAGTGAAAATATTTTCTGAAATCAAAGGCAGAGCAACATCTCAAAGCAAATGCTGTGTGATTCGTCTTCTCTCAGATATTCCAGGCTGCATGTGTAGTTCAGCATGGCGTAGGGGACAGTTGACAAATGGGTGTGGGGATGAAGACTATCTGGGGAGAACGGTAGTGTCATAAGGCCTAAGGATTTCCTGGGATTCCTTCTCTAAGAGGCAAGATGATCCTGAGGCAGGGAAGGGCAAGTGTGACCTCATCTTGACCCCCATCCTGCCAGCTGAGCTAAGGGCACCAGGCAGCCCCAGCAGACTCAACTCCTGCTGATCGATTGGCTTGTGGCCAGGCTGCCCCAGGAAGTGAGGGCGGGCAGCCTCGTGATTCTCAGAAGAGACTGAGAACTGATACAAGATGTGAAGTGGAGGCCTGACCCCGGAGCTGGGGGCCCCTTGAGCTTTAGGTAAAGATCCTGAACCTCCTCTCTCTCCACACATAGGAAGAGGGACAGAGTAGCAGCCCTGGGGACTCTATCACAGGTCTGGCGAATGATGCTGCTACCAGATTATCTTAAATATGATACACTATTTTAAAATGGATTTACCCCCAATTGGGGAACCCAGGTAGCAGGCTTAAGAAAAGACAGTGTAGAGGGAAGCTGCTGAGTGATCACAGACTCATCAAAGAGGACATTTGGGTCCTTTGCAGCAATGGGATAATGGATTTTGTAAGTGAGCACAGGAGGTGTGCTTTATTCCTCATGGCTCTTTACTTGACAGGGTTTGCCTCACACTGGTCCCCAGCCCCACAGAACAATAGAAGACCCTCAGCTGCAACAGAGCTGTGATGGCCCCAAATCCCAAGATCAGAACAATCCCTTCCTTTCTGCTGGATTAGAACTTTGAATATTTAGACTGTAAACTGGATCTACTCCTTAGCTACTCCTTTGGACAAGCAACTAACTTGCCTTCTCTAAGCCTCCAGTATAAAATGTGCCATGGCATGCACACTGGGAACAGTGGTGGAATGCCCTCCCTTAGGGATATCGGGAAGCTGCAGTGACACTGTGTAGGTGATGGTGGCTAGGAACTGCTACGTGTTAAATAAACATAAAGGAGACTACTAGTTACTTCATTCATTCACAAGTCATTTTCTACCTGGAAGGGAAAAACCCAGGTCAGAGACTGTCAGTACTAACTAAGTACCCCTTGGCCGTTCTGCAATTCCCCATTCCATTTACAGTTGGAGGGAGACCAGGTTCTGGTCAATTAGATGTGCAGCGCTGATGGTGATGGTCCTAGGAAATACAGTTAAGCAGTAAGTAAAACCCTCCTCCATCTCTCTCTCCCTTGTTGCGGCAACCTAGGAAGCTCTGTTTTCTAGATGGCATAGTCACAAGACAGAAGAAAGTCACTATACTTGCGTTACGGTTTATGCAAATGAGAAATAAACGTTATGTCTAGGCACTGAGATTTCCAGGGTTAGTCTGGTCAACAATACTTAGCAGTCACCATCCTGATTCAGAAGTTTTGGTATGGCACAGACCACATCCATTTAAGGGGTACAGAGAAGTTTATGCCAACCTTTCCTCTCAGGAATTTGCTTTAGGTCCAAAGTTCTACCCATTCTGTGCAAAGTCTTTATTTTAATTAGTTATCTACTCTTCTAGTGGGGATGGGACAAATCCTTCTAGACAAAAAGTTTCCTTTTGCTACAAAACACATTTATTTCCTGGCAGATAAAATTCTTCAACTGCATATATAAGTACATAGTATAAGGTCTCTCTTTGATACATATCCTGTTTACAAGAGCAATTTCTAATTATTAAAATGCATAAAATGCATACTAAACATCTGTCTCTTAAAATATAAATAAACTGCTAATATATAAGCTGTAAGTCAGGTTATTGACATGAGTGGTGCACGATTCTTCACTGAGTCACCGAGTCTTAAATGCTATCAACACGTCGCCCCACGATGAGATTCCATGAACCGGCAGGCAGCCAGCACTTCTAGCTTACCTGCTGGTTGTGTGGGTAGTTGGTGCTGTGGCAGTGAGCCACTTCCCGTGAAAAGAGAGTTATGTGCAGATACAGTAGTATGACATACGCAGCAGGAGAGGCATTTCACAGGGCACAACACATCAGTCAGGTAAATTAATGGGCTCGAGGGTGAAAGCTTGGCGAATGCAAACCTGTTGTTTACATTACTGGGTATTGTGGCACCATTTCACTGGGCACTCAATGAACAGCCATGAAAGTAAGGATAAGAAAATAGGCCAGAACAGTTGCCTTGGTCCCTGACATCTGTTTTCAAATTGGGCTCTAAGTTATGCGTTTTAGGGATGTCATTTTTTTTGTTCCTTCAGAGTAAATCATCCTCTTTGGAGAGCCATCCATTTCCTTATCTTTACATTTTTCATCAGCATTTAGCGACTTCTTGCAGACTGCCAGTATTAGAGGCTCATTGACTTAAAGCAGAGCACGGAGTGGTCCACACAGAGTCTTGATTTGTCTGTTGAGTAAAAGCCTGTTTGGCTCAGAATTTCTAGGATCTAGTTTATTCTTCACATGTTCTCGCCTTTTGGTTCCTGTTAATACCCAAGCCTGAGACAGCCACAGAAACTCATAGGTTGAGTGGTATATTTCTTCCTGAAATCTTGTTGTTGGTATCAACTATTTCTGGTACTGTAGCTCCCGTGATTACTTGAAATGGCTAATCCCTTGAAGCTGTGTCCTCCACAGGGCTCTCCTCCAGCTCCCTGAAGGTAAGGTTCTTGTTCTAAGGCTGATGCTGGGACTTTCCCACAAAGGAAATTTCTGGAAAATCCATATCCGCTTGTGATTCCCATGCCATCTCTCTCATGCCCCAGGAGGCTAAGGTTGCAATTCTGGAGACACAAAGGAAAAGTTTCTAAACTCATCCTGGTTAATCATAGGAAGATGTCCCTCATCAATGGGAGTTAAAACTGGCTCTTCCTTTATGAAGTCGGGGTCAAAATTACTGACATCTTCTCGAGATTTCTGTCAAAAAGGAAACAAGGGACAGATTTTTAGGCACTGTGACTTACTCATCTTCTATGGGACTTAGCTCATTCCAATGGGCTCAGAGGGCTGCTCTGTAGGTCTCTCAGCAGCATTATTTACAGTTATGACAATTATGATTAAACAGTGCTTTATAGTAATTCTACTGCATTGTATGTCATTAGGGCATTTGGTAACCACCAATTCACTAACCCCATGAAAATCTTGCTGAGCAGGCCAGTCTTAGGCTGTGAGGCTAAGGAATTAATGTGGTCACCTGAACCGACCGGTTCACTCACCCTTTACTCTCCATTTCACCAAAGCACCACTTTTCAACAGACCTTGCTGAGGAACGCATCAGCTCAGATTTGTCAACAGAGGTTGAGTAAGTTCATACTAGCCCCACCTATTGTTTGTACACAGGTCTATATGCTTGAAGATATTTTCTCAAAAGATTTCTTGGAAACAACAGCCCTTTTGCTTTACTCACCAGTTAGAGGCATTATGACTTGCTGGCAAAGCTTTCCCTCATTCCGGAGGAGCTGGCAGGGGGGTGCCCATTACAGGAGATGCTGTTACCTCTGGGTGCCTTGGGTACCTAGCAGACTATTCTACATCATTTTATGTCTTTACAAAGGATCATTTCTACCATTCTTAGACCTTTCACTTGTCTCACCTGAGTCAATGATAACTCTCTCTCTGCCTTTGGACTGCCCCTCACCCCAACTTTCAATAAACTGCTAGCCCAGCTTCTCTGCCTTCCCATTGTGGATTTCTTGACCTACAGATAAGAGCTTAGCTCTCAGACCAAGAGCTGAATCACCCTTGGGAATGCCTTCCTGCCCCACTTGGCTGCCTAGCTTGAGGAGGCACCCATGGTGCACCCAGTATTTCTCCAGTCAAAAGGGACTAGACCTGAGCATGGTGCTGCAGTAGCTGTTACAGACACAGGCTCTCCGAGCCCAGGTGCCGGCTCAGTGACCTGGGTAGCACTTCACACCCTCTTTAGTCCCTTGGGGGCTTGAGGACGGCACCCTAAGGAGCATGAGGAAACTGGCTAGGAACAGTATATTTCTCATTTAGCCAGACTTTTTTGTGGGAAACCTGGAAAGTTTCAGGTCTCTTAGGCCCCAGGAAACTTTAACTTAGATTAAAGGAGGATGGGGCTGGGCAAGCAAGAGGTAAAATCTTTGAGAGAAGTGACCTGGACACACAGATGCTGCCTCGGGGACAGGAGCCCAGTTTTCTTTGGGTAAAGCTGCCCAGAAAAGTATCAGGCTGAACATCCAGGCTGGTTATTCCATAGGAGACCACCCCGATGCTCAACAAGCTGTGGAAGAACACTGGGACATTTCCAGAGGAACGTCTGCTAGGATGGTTTTACACACTTACGATTCTGGGTCGGAAAGGTGGTTCTACTTGGCGGTGGTTTAGCTGGGCCCAGTCGATCTCCTTAAAGAAAGGATGTCTCAAGATGGCATGTTCACCACCCTGAGTCAGGCTGCCCAGGCGCATGGTGGGATTCTTGGTCATGAACTGAGAGAGAAGAGGTGCAGACAGAGAGTCAGTCATTCAATCCTATACAACAAGTATGTCACAAGATGCCAGGCATCAGCTCTGGCTGATCTTGCTTAACGAGCTGAATTTTCCATCATGAGCAGCACAGCCAATATGAATCACCCCTTAAAGGTGCAATTGCTTGTGTGTATTTATGGCCTTCCCCACTTCCATTTCAGACGTGGCCACTAAAATAAAGCTGAAGGGTCCAGTTTTCTGTAAATACCATGTATTTTTCTTTCCCCTTTAAAGCAAAGAAATGCTTTATAAAATAGTGTGCCTTTTCCCAGCATTGCAGTTGTAGACAGCCCACATCTTATGAATGGAGCTACTTTTAGGAACAGCTGTGCCATTTTTCTGAGAGACCTGACCAGCTGGCCAGGATTCCCTCTCTCTAATGACACCACAGAGAGAAGAGTGAGAGCCATTCTTTTGAAGATGTGGGTGAAGATGCTGCAAGGCTGAAAAACTTAAAAGTTCTGTGTTCTGGCTCTAAGGTAAACAAAGTCGGCCACTTCTCTTTATGTAACAAAGATACCATAGTTTCAAGTGAAAAGTCTTTTTTCTTCCAGATGCTCCCTTCTCCCTCACCATTACATTTTGAAATGTTTAGTGACTGAGAATCTTGCTACATGGACCAAAAACTAAAATAAGCATTACCACCCATCCAAGCATTGTGTGTATATAAATCATTTGTATTTCTATCATTGGGAAACTTCTCCGGGGCTAGCTCCTATCAAGACATTTTGGGCTAAATTGACTTTCACAAAATGGCCAGTAAAGGTGTTCTGATCATGTCCTGGCCAAGGACTAGTACAGGATAATACACTTTTCATTGCCAGAATGTGATTTTCAACTTCAAAGATACTTGAGTTAATTTAATTTTCCATTTTCAAAGGAAAATTGCCTTGGATAAAATGTTTGTTTTTAAATTTAAATCAAGATATCTTTAAACAAATTTATGAACGCAAGGCAAAAGTAACACTGGGCTCACAGAAACTGCTGTGGAGTGTAAGTTCCAGAGTAAACAAGAAGCCAACATATTGGAGGTTTGCAGAAATGAAAGGGCAGTGAGGAGGTGGCCATCTCTGCCACGGCAGGTGTCCGAGGCCGCAAAGCCTCCAGTGTTGCTTCAGATGAAAATGACCAGGTGGAAGGAGGATGCTGCAGATGTCCCTAGCAAAGGGGATAGGAGGAACCTCATAAAATGCTAAAAAAGCTTCAAAGGGAAGCTAATAAAAAATGAAGACCTGATGGGGTGTAATGGCGTCTTTCTTCTAGGGACCAGCTTGCAAGGCCACAGGTGGCGCTGCAAGAGAGGTGGGACCTGGAGGCAAAAGCAGCTTTCAGAGCCACCCAGGGCCAGTTGCGGCAGTGAGCACTCTAGGCACGTCCAGTGATCAGTGTGGGCTTTGGAAATCTAGACCTGAGTTCTGTATGACACATAAGAGTTAGGATTTCCCACTTCCTGGGCTCTCCTGGGATAAGCCTGTGTAACTCAGAAAGGAAGGGGAAAGTATGGGCACAAGAGAAATCAGTCAATTCTCTCTTTATGGAAGTGAATGGGATGCAGTCCCTAGTGGACTACCAGTGTCTATTCTAGGAACTAATTAACAACAAGCAATGCTGCAAAAAACTTCAGGTAAAAGGAACAGATCCAGATGGCTTGTGTGGATGGTGTGAGCAGAGACCATCTTGTGAATGTCTGGGTACAAATTGTTCTTCTGGGCAAAAGGAACAGCACTTGGCTCCTGATGCCAGGGTGGCAGAAACTCCAGTGTCTGAGAGACCTTGGGCATTCTTCCCTGGTCCTGGCTTGGGTACCAAGCTTCCGAAGGGCACTGTGGAAAGGCATTGCCGGAGGAAATGGAGAGTACATGGCAGCTCTTCCCCCTCTAAAAACTGCATCCCTGGACAAGGAGATGGGCAGAATGACCCTTTCATAGCTTGATACTTCCTCTTGAGGTTCTGCTAAATATTTCTGAATAACCAAACAGATCTGTTTGGATTTTAATGTCTTGAGTGCTTTAGATACAGATATCCTCCACTTAAACCTTTGTAATCTGAATTGAGAATTTCTTTGCAGGGTTATCTATTGTATGCGAGGCAGGGTGCTAAGCCTCATGCAGGTAGAGATGACAAGGATAGTGTCTCCCCCTGAAGGAGCTGATGGAGACGGGGAAGAGGCAAGCAGGCTTTATCTAACCCGCAATAGGATGAAAGGAAAAGAGACAGCGAAGTGCATGGGAGCTTTGAAGAGGGACTAAGGAAAGAGCAGTTTGGCACTGGTGGTAAGAAGGCAAGTGATAGCCTAATGGAAGAGATGGTATTCAATGAAGATGAGGCGGATGAGAAGAACTATTCTAGGCATGCACGAAGAAGACAATCATGGTCAGCACAGCCAGCACAAATGCAGACTGTAAGCCCCTGGTGTACTGGCAGAGGGGCACAAAGTGTGGGGGGGCTGGCGCATGGGGATAGTTGGGGAACTGTCGGGGCAGCCAGCAAGCTCCATCAAAAGTGTGTATGGAGAGGTGAGTGACGAGAGCTGCCCTGCAATTTAGGGTCTGATTCTAGCCACAGTGTGATGAATAAATCTGAAAAAGGTAAGAGACTCATGGTGGGTGAACAGCCAGAATGTTGAGACAGTGACTGAGAAGACATGATAAGTTCAGAAACCAGGAGCATTTCTGGTCAATGGCAAGGAAAAGTTGGGAGCAGGTTCTGATGGGCCTGCAGAAGAATGAACACACTCCACACCGGCTGGTGCTGCACTGAAGGAAGAAGGGAATGCAAGGTCACAGTGTGTGCACAGGCTGTCTGGGGGAGCAGCGGTGTTGGGCAATGGAGACAGGTAACAAGGAATGACAGATTGTTGCTGGAGTATTAATATTAGTATTAAAGTAGAAGTAGTAGCAGTCATAATTGTGTTTTTGTCAGAGAAATGAAACAAAAAATATCTATCATTTCTCAAGACCTACAGCTTGCAGACCAGGGAGGTTGATGAGCACAGCTTGGCCTTTGAGGTAGGCAGACATCCAGAAGGAGATGACTAGGTGTGTAAATTGGGGTGCAGGCCAGGCTTGGAGATCTAACTCTTAGAGACATCAACATTTGGTGAGAGGGTAGGCAAGACTGTTGTGAGAGTATGTAACTGAGACCAGCCCTAGGCCTCAGACATTTAACTGACGTGGTATGTTTTAAAAATATTTTCATTACTTGTCAAATATGCAAAAATCAAGTTTTCCAGTTTTTCTTGGAAAATGAGACACTCTGGAACACCTGACCTGCCCTTCTTGATACAAATGGCCTGGAGTTGAGTAGCGGCTGCCTCTTCAGATGGGGCATGGAGTCCCTGGTCAGCCACCTGCCCCTCCACTCCCTGTTGCCTCACACCTGGCTGGCCTCCCTCACTGACTCTGCATGGCTCCTGCACTGGGCACAGAGTAAGAAGCTACAGTGGCAGCAGGAGGAGTTGATGAAGAAGCCAGAGGAGGATGACCACCGTGACACAGAAGCTAGGACGGGGACTGTTCCGAGGAGGAGGTTACGGCCCCTCTATGGCTGCTCCCCTCCAAAGATGCAGAGATGGGGAGTTAAGGGCACATTCAGCATCAGTCCCAGGCCTGGAGGCTTTCGCAGTGCACACTGGTTGGCGTGTGAAGGGGACACAGGACTCTGCCTAAATACCATGTGCCTGCTGCTGGGAACAGTGATGACATAATCCTTTTGCAGAAAACTTCCTCTGTTTGCTTATGTCCCTGATGGGACCCGTATGCCAAACAAATGAGCAACGATGTTGTTTAGAGCAGTAATTCATCCATGTCTAAGGTCATCTTTAAAACGTACCTCACCTCAACTGACCTTCTCTCTGACTGTGGTTCAAATGAGAAAGCCAAGGAGGAAAATGGAGTGACTTTGTGAAAGATTCTGGACACATTTACTAAAGGAAGCAGAATGTTTTTTAGGGTCAATAAAAGAACTTTCTAAGTGACAAAGACTGAATGAGAAGGCCAGGATGGACAATCTGGTTCCACCTCAAAGGGAAGCATGGAGCCAGCCGGAGAGCAGGGGCAGGAGAGGGGTCAGGGAGGCGGGGACCCACCCCGCACTCCTCTTCCCTCCGCGAGCCTCCTGAAGTGGAACTGAGCAGAGGGTTCTGAAGGACTCAGCACCCCTGCCCTGCGCATGAGAAGCTTCACAGTTCTTTCAAGGATGCAGAGCAGGCAGGACTACAGGGGAGTGCAGTCCGCCATGCAGAGCGCTGAAGGCACCGCGTGAGGAGAGGCGGGAGATTTAGGCCCGGTTTGGACAAGAACGTCCTGGGAAGCTTCTTGCCAACCGGGGATGGACATACAAAGGATAAAAGAGCTCCTCTGAGAGGGAGGGCAGAGGCAAACTGGTTAGGCTCAGCAGGTCGACTACCAGTGTTTGTGAACCAGTTCTACCACCAGTGAGCTGTGTGACCATGCTCAAATATTTCTTAACTTCTCTGGGCCTCAGAGTCCTCAAGTGTAAAATGGTGATTTTCCTGTATATCATAAGGTGATTAAAATAAGTGAGATAATCAATGTAAAGTGCCTGGCACAAAGGAAGCCCTCAATATGTGTTAGTATTATAAACCTCTTGTAGGCCCATTCTGTTTTACTTCCAGGCAGAGACATGGCCTGACAGCCTCTAAGAGATGAACATCTGAGGTCATCCTTGACCCTGAGGCTCACCTGCCTCTGCCTGCTACTCTACTTTGCAGCCAGGAAGGAGAACAAAGTCAGTCGGTGCTTTCACAACCCCAGGCTCCGGCAGTGGGGTGGTAGCCATGGTCTCCAGAAAACAATTTTTCCAACAATAAAGATTTCTAGAGACAATCTTAAAACAAGAATACAAGCAATAGTCTGGTTTAAACATGCAGCTATATCTGCCTTAACAGAAGGGAGGTACAGAATGGGGGGTGAAGGCACCATGGGGTACCTTGTCTGTAA